TGCATTCATTAATTTTCAGCGAGCATATTTTGGCGACTTAATTTTCATTTGGAAAGACAACATTTCGTCAACAGCTGATACTTTCAGTGTGAAATTAACGCTCTACAAAGAATGGTTACGCTGTGTTAATTTTCATAATGACGTTAATCTCGTCTAATTTTGGGGAAGGGTTTGTTTTTACCCGTTTTCTAATCTGCAAGAAAAAAATTATGATTAATATCATGTCAGAATCGATTTTCATTTGTTCCATTTTTTGCTGGAGGAAGTTTCTCAGAATGGTTGCTGCTCATCATTTCTGAATACTTGTAAAATCAATAGTAACAGCACACATATTCGAATTACTTTTGTGTTTGGCTGTTTTAAAACTCGTTTTCGGCTGGAATGGCATCTGGAAATTTTTTTTTTTCAAATTCGCAAAACGTATTTCTTTTTTATCGTTTGCATTTGACCCGTGCGCCTGGAGGAACACCGTGTCGGGTGTCGTGTCGCGTCGAAGAACAAAAGAAACCGCGAATTCGGAGCGAAAATCAGGGTTCGCTTGTTCGCCTGCAATTTCTTTACAAGTCATGTATCTGGGACAGGTCAGCAGATCCGCGACATTTCCGACCTGTGGAGCCCATCGACTTCCTCTTGATATCAATGTTCCACTTACGCACTCATTCTGCGGTCCCTGAGAGTGAGAGAGAGAGAGAAAGATTTGGGGGGGGGGTTGGACAATACCCGAACGTGACCTATCGTGCCCGGTCATAATTCGGCATGAATCACGAACCCAAGGAGTGCTTCAGAGGTTCTAGAGAGGGAGAGCGAGAGCCTGACTTCACTCAGACGCACCTTTCGAACCACCGCCGCGTTTTTATCTTCCTTGAACCGCCTGCGTTCTGATGTGCGAATACAAAATAAGCGTTGAATATGTTAACTGCGTTGGTGGGTGGTTCAGGGAAATGGAATATCAAATTTTTTATTATTTTTTGCTATCTCGTAATGGGTTGTATTAATGTGATACCTTTGAAGCCGTTAAGTGTGCCGTAGGAGTTCCGCGTAATTTTAATGAGATTCCCTCATCGTAACGAAACATGCCTCGCACTCTTATTCATCTGATGATTAATCGATAAGTTGGTTCGCGATGCATGTGCTGGTTTGTCCCTAATTGACGGCTTTTAGGACCTGGTAATTGACCCGCAGCGTGTCAATGATCGACGTGTCCATTCGGCCTGGTGAATGCAGTCGATTGTACGAGGGATGGTTCAATAGTTTTGTCAGTACCGTCAAGTCACGTTGAATACTTTACTGGATTAATAATAAAACTATAGATGCTTTACTTTGGATTTTTATCAATTTGCAGTCCTGGTGGGAAACTTTATTCTCGAAAAGTGATGATGAGCCTATTCATTCAACATAACGAAAACAAAATTTATCAGACGGTTTTCTTTAAAAGGCGATTTTCAGATCTGGAACCTTGGTACTAACAACAGTTTTCCGTCACTTTGAATTACCGGTACTGTATTAGTAACGATTTAAGTCAATGAGATTCGATAAAGCATGTGAGTGAATCAGGCGCTCAATATTTTTCATAATGAGAGGAGTACTTCAACAGTCCACGGCGATCATTTAAATGTAGATTCGCAAAAATGAATGGGAATTCTCATTCATTACTCCTTGGAAATTGAGTCCGATCAATAATAATGTTCTTTCGCAATGAAGTCGCATGGCTGACAAAACTTGTGAAGCAATCTTTGTATACCGTGTTACATTTAAATTACTTCATGCATCAATGACTGCAGATAGGTTTAGTTTCATAAGTTCGAGTTTATTTCTGAAGCCGCAATCGTTCTTCCTTTGTGTTGTCAGAAATGGGATTATTTAAGGGGAAAAGCATTTGTATTTGGTTGTCGTTTGTCCAGTGGTCGGATGCTGGGGGGTTTTAGATGAAGTGTGACGAGTGAAGGGTCGGCTGCTTGGGGGGGTTTTTATGGGTTCGCGTGATCGGCGGATGTGTTCATGGGGATTCCGCTAAAAGGACGGGTTCGAAAATATCGCAAGTTTTACAGCTGGCCTCTCGCCTGCTCCTTTTCAACCACGCGTGTGTGTGTGTGTGTGTGTGTGCCCGGGATGTATGCTTTTCACATAGTGTGAAGTGGCTGATGGGTTGCTGCTCGCTTTGATAAAATCTGGGTGTGTTTCGTGTGACAGTCAGTCGACGCGAGATTAAAATGATGGCATCGATTAGGACCGGATTTTCACCGTCCGCGCTCTGAATGTTGTCTGGCGACTCACGTCATGGTTTTTTTTTTTCGGGGGAGCTATTTTCTCTTGAAATCCGTTTCTGGGTAAACTGCGTATGTACGTGTGTGAATATATTTCCAGGCGACTTCATTCAACTCGACTCTCCCCGCATCGGATATATGTTTTTCCTTTGTGAATACGTTGCAGCTTTCCACACTCGGGGGTAGCGATAAATTTTGAAGGGGTTCTAAAGCGTTTTCAACGGGGTTTTGACAAGAGTGTCCGATTTCAAAACCAGATCCTTAGATAAACTCTCGTATAGTAAATCGAGCGTTGCATAAGCTGCATGTCCTCTTTTTCTAGTAATGGTTTATGTGCCTATAAATCAAAGCTCCGGAAGTTTTTAAATTGAGTGTGAGAGCCTAAAAATGGTCGCCGTTTAGTTCTCGCGATCATAACAGGCGTGGAAAACAAACGGTGTATTTCGAATTTATGCGCTTATCGGCTTGGTCTAAAACTGGCACATTTTTTCTAGAAAAAGCTACGCAAACAAGCTGGTTTTTTTTGGACGAAACAGGAACCGAAGGAGTTCTGCTTCTAGACGAAGACGAAATTTAATGGATAATGCGCTCAGATGCGGAGTCCCACATTTTCCTCGTCAGATAATAGAGTCAGAGGAAAAAGTCAGCAATCATCTTGTCATGCACGTGTACCGCTTTCATGATCAAGCTTGCGAGGAAAGGAACTTTCTAATTCGTAAGAGACAGAAAAGGAGGGAAAAAAACGAATGTGAGATTCAATGGGCTGCTTCCGGTACTTCATGAGAGGTTTGAAAATTTGTCGGCCTTACTCTTAGTCACATGAAATTGACCCCGACCGCGTTTGATGCTTGGTCCGAGGTCAAGAGCTTCTCCGCTTAAACACATTTGTTGACACGGATTTATTCACTTATCACATCATGTAGGCTTGGTAGCGAACACGTTTCGGTGGTTTTTCCTTATGGGGTATGCTGTGTTTTAATTCGAATTTCGTTTTGAGAACCGCTAGTGGGGCAATAAGCGGCTGTGGAGCTTGCTGCGATGTTTGTGAACTCTGCGGGGCGTGGAAAAATATTCCTTGGTTTTCACCCCATCGTTTTTTTTTTTTTCACCATGTCCGACGCCGAAAATACGAGAGATGTTCAAAAGCTGTTTTTCAGCCATTTTATATGAAGTTTATTTTGGGTACTTGCGTTTTTGAATCAGAATCAAGACAATTTGAAATTAGTCTGGTTATCTGCGAAGAATTTATTTCGATTACAGTCATGACTTGTTCACCAATCGTCAATTTAGAGCAGTCTTCTCAATGAGTATTATCTGCTTTAAAATTGTTGATTAGAATTATTTTCTTTTCATCATATCTCGTGGTTGTCCGATCTGGTAAATTACATTTTATTTATTTTTTAATATTTTTGAATTATTGAAAATATTTAGCAGAATTAGGGCTGCCTGAAATCTCACTAAAGATTCAAATGTAGCAAGTAACGATCGAGTGCAGTTCATAATTTGATTTTCCGTATTCCACTCAATTGATCAGGAAGTTCATCAAATTCTGTCATGTACAATTTAAAAGGGAAGCCCACGATTTCCGAAACTTATGAACCAACCCTCGTACTGTTTCTCAAGTTTTTCCAGGAATAATTTTGTGAGAATCAGTCAGTCGGGTAATTTCGTGAGAGAAGTGCGTACGCAGATCTTATTAATTAGAGAAGCAGCTATCGAAGAGCAGTACGTTAGGCCACACATACAACTTAAGCGTGTACTATGGCGGTAAGTAGTTTAAACGGAGAGAAACACCTTTACGGTCATTATGTTTCCGATCACTGGCTCCGCGGTTTACTCAAGCTGAACGTAGTTTCCGTGTCGGAATCGCAGAAATGTCAATTTTATGGAATTACAAGAGAGAGAGAGGAAATTCAGAGATTGTGCTCAGCTTGGGTGACGCAACCGAATATCTACGTATTTCCATTCAAAGCATGGCCGAAGCTCAGCTATATAAAACCTATAATGCAATACTGTTCTAAAATTGAGTAACCCAATCTGTGTGGGATCAGTGCGCCGAAGTGGGTCAGTGTTGCCCAATCGTCAGTCGAGGTTATTAAAGAAGTAAATTAATTTTTAATTGCTGAAATCCGCTCTCGCTGAGTCAAGACATTAAAGGAGCGGAATTGATTTTTTCTTGTTGTTTGATTCATCTGACGTCGTTCAAAAGTCAAGGTAACCTTGGGACAACAGCTTTTTTTTCGAAAGGGCCTCACTTTTGCACGGGGAAATCCAACGTGCAATGGTTTTCTTTCAGGCTTACGAATTCGAAAAAGATTACTATTTTTGTTTTGGTGAATCTGGAAATCTGAACAGGTGAGCTATCTGTTTAAAATTTTATTGCATATAAGATCGGCTTTCGATTTCCTGATTACGGATTGTTTCGACGAACGTTGTGATATATGCTTAGCATTTTTTCCTGTAGGATCGCAATAAAATTTGGTGTACAATAACACAATAGGTTGCACTAATTAGTGAACTTCTGTCCACCCTTGGGTTGTCAAATATTCGTAGAAACAGAGAAAGGAAAAACATCGGAATGCATAGGATTGTGCTGTAGTTCCGTTTTTCACGTGATCGGCGGCGTTGCTTTTTTTTTCATCCACTTTAAAAGCCTCAATTAAAGTACTCCCGTTTTTTTTTCAGAAAGAGGGATTTATCTAATGAAATGTTTTTTTCTCCTTTTGTCGTGTCCAGGAGCACTTCAATTTTGCTGCAGTTGAAAGCGGACAAGGGCCAGCATTGCTGTCGTTGAAATCCGAAAGAATATCCTCGCAAGATCACCTGCGAGTTCTTCTCCGACTACGGACAGGGACAGTTCATGAACTGCTTCCTATGTCCTGTTTGCAAGGAGAATCACCTAGTCCTTCCCGAATTGCCAAGGTGAGTTATTTTTCTATCAATCACGTCTCTCCAATTTTTCTTCCAACCTGCAGAGAAATGGAAGAAATGATTGCTCCCAGCCCCGTTACCTGGTGTGTGTGAGCTGAACAGCAATTTGTCTTCCCCGAGCATCACAGCCCTTTTGTTTAATTTTTTTTTTTTTAGCTGTAGAACCAGGGTCTGCGTACTTTTTGGGACCAGGTTGCATTGACCTCATTTTGCAACGGGGTTTACCTTCATGTTCCTCGAGTTGTTTCTACTTGCACTGTACTTCGTATCCATTAAAACTTCGTCCCATGCGGGAATGGGATTCGTTGTGATCAACGAACTGTGTACCTCAAGTCTAGACGTTTAATCCGAGCTTCTTTTTTGTTTGTTGTTGTTGTTGCGGAATTGGATGAAGGGGGAAGAATACGTGTGCTACTGTTCTTGGGATGGAACGGAACTGGGTCAGTACAGTACTTCCGAAAAGCTTGATTGGCTTCCATTGCAGAATCTTGCTAGAGTCCCTCTCCGCAAATCTTTTTGTTTGAGAAAAACGGTTTCGCAAAATAGAACACGACCATGCGGGCCTAAGGGCTGTATTTCTCATAAGATACCCTGGTGTTTTTTTTTTTTTATTGGATTCTCTTTCATTTTTTTCGCAATCTATTTTTGAGTCATGATTTTCAAACTCACATTGGGAATTGTAAGCCACATTTTCAATTTCTTGCGAAATATTAATTTTCTTGAATTTACTGCAACATTTTAGTTCTGTGCTATACTCAGTCCAAAAATTTTCGATTTCTTCGAACGTTAATTTTTTTGAAAGGTGGATTTGACTGATCGCAGTTTGGAAATTTGGGATTTTTCGGCCTGTTTTTCGGGAATCTCGGGATTAATTTCATGGTGGGAAGAAATCTAATGAACCTTATGACTGCGGCCGCCGTGCTCTTTCAATTACTGTACCTTGATTAACTGCTTTGCCGCCTTGAAATCCGTGTCGAGCGGGTGTGTGTTGGGGGGGAAAGAGGGCAATTTTTTTTGTTGCTCTACGAGATTCTCGTTGGGGAGATGAGAAATTGCGTGTGTGGCTTGTCGGCGAGAAGTTATTGTCGAGAGCTTAGCGGGGAATTGATTTGAGAGGAAAAACCGACGCATTCTTGACCACACCGAGCCAAGCACTTGGTCGTTCAGGAAGATCGGCCTCACGAGGGGGTGATTCGTAAGTTTCGTACAATCCTGTGCTTCCCGAATATAAAGTACAGTAGTAGGAAAGAGGAAGATGGACGTGATTTAAAAAAGAGTTATATTCTACTGTACTTAATAAGTTCACGGCATTTGTTTCATTGTTCGCTTTTGCAGGTTGAAATGGAGAAACGATAACTTTTGAACAAGTACCTTTTTCAAAGTGATGGAAGAAAAATTTACTGGTCATCTTCATATGTTCTACGAATTGGCAAGGGAGTAATATACTGTATAAGCAGTTCCGAATACTCGAGTGCCAAACAATGCCAAAACATTTTTAGCCACGTCGTCCCTGTTTCCCATTCCGTTTAAATTTGCCTACTAATTTGGAAAATTTTTGAGTTACTGTTGGTTTTTGAATACATCATTTCAATTGATGTGCAAGAAATAGCCAAATTCAAGTCAGTAATTGAAATAAATTTTCTTAGCAAATTGAGGATTGTGCATTTGCTGCTTCTCTCGTCTTTGATTGAATATGGGTTTTGGAATTCTTACTTCGAAATACGTTATGGATTAAACATGGATTTCTACGTGCAGGCGAAACTTGTGAAGCATTCCTCATACATTTGTATCCCCCTTCCCTGTCTTATTTCTACATTTATTTTCGAAATTTCAAATTGCTTAAGATTGCCTGGAACGCGAGAAAATCTTCTCGAGTCGCCCAGACGCAGCTTGTTGTCTGAGAGGAAGACGCATCGCTTAGTCGCATTCCTGCGGGAATTAATTGGTGTTTTTTTTGCCGGAAAGAGGAATTTCTCAGCCTTGGGTGGGATTCGGCTTAAACGTAATCCCCCGCGTCGGAAACGTGAGCGACGACCGACTCGTTTGGATCCCCCGTGGAAAACGAACAATGTTTCCGTATGTAGAAAAATTTGTGGGACTGCCTATTTTTCTAATGATTCTCTAATTTCCATGACCCGTGATCTTTCAGCGAAGAAAATGACGAAGCCCTGTCAATCACGAAAAGAGCTTTACTAGCAGGAGTGAGAACCGGTTTTTTTTTGTGGAAAGATATTGCACTGGAACTGGGGAAGTCATTCCAGGCTGCTTTTTGATGTGTGAATATTGTTTTCACCTAAATTTACGATTGTAAAAATTTTGTTTTAAAATGAGGAATTTGAGAGATTATTTTCATAAAATGTTGCCACGCGTGAAACCATTTAAAAAGTAATGCTGTATATTCTTTATCAAAGTTTATTCTGAGTTTCATTGGAATAAAATCTGTCTGCTGTGTTAATATAGAAACTTGAGTGATCCTGTCATCGGAAATGTATGTTCTTGGCCGATGGGGTAAAGTATAGGGTTTCAGTGACACGAAGGTGTGCTAACTAGCCTGAAATCTGGATTTGGTTCACGGAAATTCCGCGTGGCAAATTGGAAACTTGAGAGATCATTTCAGTAAATCTTGAGCGTGTGAAAATCGTTCAAAAATGCATTTGTTCGCCGCCAACGGTTTCGGAACAGCACGGAAGACAGAAAAGTTGTATCCTGTGCACACGCGGGGAAAAAAAATCCATCTTTTTTTTTTTCCTTCTAGGGGTTATAAACGGGAAAGAAACGTTGCGGAACGCAGCAGGCCTTTCTTAGACAAATGTCGAAGGAAATCTGTATTAATGTCCCGCCTCCCCACTGTCACAAGCATTGGATTTCATGCATAGAAACCCCCGCAGCAGGTCACCACACTTTCTTGCAGGCATCCCGTGGGAAACCCCTGCTATCGTGGGAAGCGTCGCGCGAAATTCCCGCCGCTTCATTAGACCGCACCAAGAAGCGTCGCGTAGAGATGCCTTTGGGGGGGAAGTCGAATTTCCGAATATTGCGGCGGGTTTCGCTCTTGGGGGGTGGTGGTGGTGTGTGCAACCCCAAGGTCGACGTCGTCTGATTAATTTCCCTCAGGAAGACGAGATGAAAGAGACCAAAAACACAGGTGTTCCAGTCACGAGGATAGCTGAAATTAGAAGCGAGATGCAAGGGATGCTTCGTGAAGTTTTCATACTGATTGGATTAATGAAGCAGGGATTTTTATATCTTGTTCGAAGTTGGGGACTTATTTGGTGAAAAAGTATGGTCGTGCTCCGGATAATGGATTTTTTTTTTGCTCATGGACTCTTGCTGCCACCAATATTTTGCTCAAGATTGGGAATCTGCTCCAAATGACATGAGTACAGACTTACGCCGTATGACCTAGTAAAGTAATGTACTCACGAAAATTCGAATTTGCCATTCTTCTCTGCGTTTCACAGTTTTCTTTTTGGGTCATTTCGTGATACGGAAATTAAAATTGAGCATCTACGGGTTTATTTGAGATTCAACAAAAAGGTCTTGAAAGGGATCTAGAAAAAATAAACCATTCCACATTTATCAGTTGAAAGGACTTTTCTTGGCCTCGAACCCATCAGCTTTTCGATTAAAATAATTTTCGGAAAGTGGTCTTCCTGTTGGAACTGATGATTCCAACCGACTAAGCACCAAGGCTCTGCTCTAAAAAAACAAAAAAAAATGTCACCATATCCAGGATGTGGCATCTGATCATCAGAACTTACGTAGTATCCCTTGCGTTGTCAAGGGTTGCATACAGTATATCGAAAACGAAAATTTTGTAGATCCGTTGAATTAAAAAAGAAAAAAAAAGGTGATGGATCGGGAGCAGAGCGACGTGTGCAAGACGATGGGTGATAATTGCGATGAAAATTTTCCCGGGTTAATTGACCCATCGACAGCCCGCTGAGACGAGAGATTCATCTTGCACGTCGGACGTCTGTCCGAAAAAGGCAAAGAAGAAAAAAAATAAGAATAGGGTGCTCTTCAACCGTCGAGAGAGAGAGAGAAACCCTGGATCGCAGTAAGACAGTTTTCTCTGCATACTTGGCCGACCCTTTTGCTCATTACACCCTCGGCGTATTTTTCGCCCCGGGATTGCCGGAGGTGGCGAAAAAGGACTTCGAAAGATTCATTGCCTCTGCGTGATTTTTTTTTTTTCGTGGGAGGGAAATTCCCATGCCTTGGTTTAACAGTTTCTGTAAAACCTTTTTTCGGTTGTCGGCATCTTGTCTCCCACCATTATACTAGCCTCTCTGCTTTTAAATCTTGACCAGGTCTTCCGAATACCAAACTTGAACACATAATGAAAATGCTCTCGCTGCCACAGACGACATCGGAATGTCATGAATGCGAAACTCTTGAGTAGCCGAAGGTATTGTTATTAAAACTTTTGAAAATTTTCGAAAGCGATTCCGAGAGTTCTGTATATTCAGCAAATATTTAATTGACGGGATAACCGAAAAAGTACTTTTGGATTTTGACGTTTGTAAATAGGCGTTGTTGTTCCCATATCAAATGATCACTTCCCACATTTATTTAATTTTTGGTGCGTGTTTTGTGATGAAAATTTCGAACGTCTGTTTCATTGTATCGATGAACTTTTTAGTGAACTTTTTAGTTTGAACATGGCTGTCAAATCTGGCACATCGTCACGAAAAATATTTTGCGATAATGGGCTAAAAAAAATAAATGTGGGTCGCACCTGGACAGCCTGCGAATTTATCGAGTGTGCAGATGTGGTAGATGAACTGCATTTCTCGAAGTGATTAGGTGTACCGTATTTCAAATTGTCGTTCTGTATGAAAAAAATTGGGTCAACGATCAAATATTGGTCTTGAATATGTAAATTCATCTCCCGTCCATTCACAAGACTTCAGCAGTGTAAGAATACAAAGGACAAAATTTACTGACCATTCAACAACCCTCGTATATTCGCAGGAATGCGTATTTCATTTATGTCCTTTTTTTCTAAGAAGTGGGCCCCCGAATCCTTTTGTCAAATACTTCTATTCCAAGAATGCTTCATCCATAAAGAAACCGTTGAGTAGAATTGGTGCAAAATTCCTGCATGCCCGAGATTTTCAGCTCGAGTTTTAAAATAAAAAAGTCATGTTCGTCCGGTCATTTGAAACCCCTTGAGCTTGATGCAACCAGAGGAAAGGCCTGCATTTGCCTCGATTCTTTTCCTCCCCTTGATTGCCTTTTCCCGCGCGGGGGGCTCTTAATTTTTTTTTTCCTCCTTTCATCGATTGTTCGTGCTTCAATATGCCCCGAAGGCGTGCCTTACTGGTTGTTTGCAACTAACTACGGGCAGGGAAAAAATTCCTTGGTGGAAACCCCGGCCGAAGACGAGACGCCACACCACCACATGGCAAGCGAAAACCGTGTTCGCGTGACTCCTTGCCGACATCCTCAACTGCTCTCCTCTCAATCTTTCGTGTCGGTACTTGGAATCGTTTCGTCTATCTATCTATTTCTTCTTCGTGTTTTTGAATCCCACACACGAAACGACTCGTCTTCGAAGAGATCTTCCTGTCCTGTTCGGGACCCCCGAAGGCATCGTTCTTGAGTCGCTATAACCCTCCACCCCGGGGCCCATAAATGCATCTGTCGGATCATTTTCTAGGCGCGCTTAAAAGCCATTTGATGGGATGCTTTTAACGACGTTCGTTTAGACGGTTAAACGATGTGGTCTCGTGAACTGCACATTTTCGGTTGCTCTCGTGCTATGGATTAGAAACGGCGATTTGTTTTCGGGGAGGCTCCTTGAGAAAAGCCTCGCCGAGATGAAAATCCCGCCCTTACGATGCGTCTAAAATCTTAACGATAGAAAATACTGCTGTGTTGGAAATTAATAAAGTTATGATTTTTGAGGAGTTATAATTCTCTGCTCTTTTTTACACTTACCGTACCTGTGTTTTCCTTTACAATGAAGCCATGAAACCTCCTCGAAATGAGCTGAAAAGGTTACCGATTTTCTGTTTCCCGAAGATTTTCTCATGTTTATTTTTCCAGTAATGCGCTGCTACTTTTTTTTCTTTCTTGGAGAATTTAAAATCAAACAGTTCCAAGTAATTGCGAGAGTTTTCCAGAATACATTCTGCATCTGCGGGATTATAGTCCTTATGGCATTTTTTTGCCTCAACCGTTTTGGGTGGTCAAACTGGGAAAGAGCACCAGATGGGTTCTAAGAAAGTACCCGCTCCTGGGGTTTTGCAATTACGGTTTACCTCAGGATTGAACCCGTTGGGATTAATAAAAGTGGCAGTTGCTTCGGTCCCACCAGGTTGTAGCCCCGTTGATTTACGCGTCAAATGGCATCAAAATATGGTCTTATCGAAGACGCATCCTGGTATCGGCAGTAATTTTTTTTACTCCTTGAGCGCTTGTTCAGGGGGAAAAACTACCGTATACCTGGAATTTTGCTCCAGATTGGGTTATTGCGTACGCGTTTCGCTGCATGGGGTCATTCTAGAGCTGGGTAATAATTCTCAAAAGCAAAAAATAAAATGCTGATGGGCTAGGAAAAAAACGGCTCGTGTGTGTGTGTGTGTGGCACGCCATTCCACGTTTATTGTTCTGTTTGGCGGTGCTCGTAAATCGTAGACGCGGATGTTTGGGCATGTGATTCCGGCATGCAAATGCCCAGTTCGAGCGGCGTCACAGGAATTTTTTTTTTCAGCAGCGTTTATTGTTCTCTCAAAATTCTCCTGATGAATTGTATTACCTTTGTTGTAGATGAATAAATTATCCGCCTCCCCATTTTTTTTTTTTGCTCATGTGGAGGAATGGATGAAGCACGATGCTTCGTTTCCTCAGCTGTCGGATACCGTGGCTTTTGTTGAACGTATTTGCAGATTTTCGTCGGTTTGTTGATGCGGTACTTAAATTTTTATATTTATGCGAGGATAACCCCATGAATTAGACCCAGCTGTTGAACAACAGCCTTGTTTTTTTTTTACCGTTTTGAGATAATCATGTATATAGAGGATAAAATCGCTCATTCGAAACTTGTTCTTGAAAGTCAGCTTTTCTGACTTCATTTGCATCTTTTCTACGAGGGTTATCAAATATAGCTAGTCTTCGGAAGATTCCCTGGTGAACAGCCAGGCGTCACGTTCATCAGTGTCGGTCAAATTTGAGGGTCCTCGGGGCATTTCTTGCTAAAAACAAAATTGCGCAGAAGTGACGGTGGATTGNTTTTCGTCGGTTTGTTGATGCGGTACTTAAATTTTTATATTTATGCGAGGATAACCCCATGAATTAGACCCAGCTGTTGAACAACAGCCTTGTTTTTTTTTTACCGTTTTGAGATAATCATGTATATAGAGGATAAAATCGCTCATTCGAAACTTGTTCTTGAAAGTCAGCTTTTCTGACTTCATTTGCATCTTTTCTACGAGGGTTATCAAATATAGCTAGTCTTCGGAAGATTCCCTGGTGAACAGCCAGGCGTCACGTTCATCAGTGTCGGTCAAATTTGAGGGTCCTCGGGGCATTTCTTGCTAAAAACAAAATTGCGCAGAAGTGACGGTGGATTGGTGCTTCTGTTTTTTTACCTCTATTGAGCACCATCAGTTAAGACAAATAATTTTCAATTTTTCGACTTTTTTCCGCTTTTGTCACGTGCTTAGGCAGAACGGTTAATTTTTTTTTTAATTGAGAAAATTGATGTCGTACGCATGCGTACGGAACCCAGATTCAGTCAAAAATTGCGAAGTCTCAGAGTGCATTGTAAATACGATTTCAACGTTGAACCACGCTTTAATAATTGGTCATCGCAACGAAAAAGTTTTCAAATGATTTAAAATTCTCACTAATACTTCGTTGAATTGTATATCCACTGATCTTCCGAAGTCGAAACCCCTTTTTGGACTCCTCCGTCTCTGATCATGTTCCTCCCCTGTGCAGTTCATTTTAAAATTCGTCCTTGCACTTTTGATGGTTGTGGCCCCTCGAACTCTTGGAACACCAACATATGGCATTTTGTATTGAAAATGTGCTTCTTGCGTGTAATAGTGCGTATAATGACGGTTGATGAGCGACTTCCCTGTCGCAGAAAAGTGAAAAATTGTCGCGGTGTTGTCAGCCTTTTTTGTTCAAAGGCGTCTCCCTTCGTATCGTTTGTCATGCTTGCTTGTCTGTCCGCCACTTGCGGGTTTTACACCTTCGTATCCCGAGGACAATTTCCTTTTTTTTTTGGTGCCTCGGAGCAAAATGAGGATGGGTTGAAATTTAGCATTGTATTTAATGACTCGTGGGTGCAATTTTAGGCGAGACCCCCGCAGCAGTGGCCGAAAGGTCGCCCGGAGTTACCAATTTGTCTTCCCCGAGTTTCCGAACTTCCGGCGGCGGGGGAGATCAGGGGCCCGACGCCGATGATTACTACCGGATGTTGTATTTTGTCAATAGCATCAACGGATGGTGCGTTCCTGCGACTTTTCCGTCAAGAGATCAGCCTCTTCTCTGTTTTTTCCCGTTGAAGAATTTTATGTTTCTGAGGGGGGTCGATTGCACCAAAAAAAAAAAAGCGTGAAAGCATCCGGGGAACACGATTTGTGTGTCCTGCTTTTTTTTTATGCATTGGCTGTTCCTCGGAGCAACGGAAATGTCGAGGTAATTAACAGGGCCAGAAGGTTCAGTGTTGAAGTGGGACTTCCTAGTTGCGAAGGCTGGCTCATGAGTTTTTACTGACAGTTTTGTGCTTCAATTTTTGAAGTCTTGGTAAATTTATGGAGATTGGCTTTAATTTGAGGTAATATCCAATAATAGCTTTGCCTTGTTTCCGAATTGTTTTCCCACCGGTGGTAAAATAAAAGATTAGCTAATAGTTTAAAATGCTCCCACGAATGTGAAGGAAATTATGTTTAGATGTCGCACTATCATCTTTATAATTCATCAAAGCCACAAAATTCAGCACGATGCTTCAAATTATAAGTTAATCTGCTTCATTGACAATTTCCCACATGCGGAAAGTATGCCTTCAAATAATGTGGAATGTTCTGATCATCGCAATTTTTATGCTGAAAGCAAAGGCTGTCGTAAAATAACATTCGCGTAGCAATAAATTGCTCACGTCAGGGTTACCATTGCATGAAATCTTCTGCAAATAATGAAGAGTCTAAATTGTATC